GGGAGCGACGAGAAGCCCCGGGGACACGACGTGGGTCCGCAGGAGCCGCGGGGCTCGGACGCTCCGGGCTGGAGCGGGGGTGATGCCGCAGCTCCCACCGCAAAAAAGGGGGATGCTGGGGGGGTCCCACAGCCATCAGGTGGTGGTGAGGGGCTCCCCGGGCAGGCCTGGGGCTCCGTCGCTTTATCTCCAGCTCCGAACCAGCTCAACCGGTTGGGGTGGGTGGTGGGAGAGGAAATCCAGCCCCGAGCCAGCCACAAACACCCTCCCGGAGAAAAGCCCGTGACGGAGGGTGGAGATGGAACCCGGACAGCGGGGACAACACCCCGGCCCTGGATTGTTCTTTCTTATTTAAACCAGGTGCTAAAAACCCGCCCCGGAGCGCGGGGAACTGAGGCAGCTCCGTGTGAGCGGGAGGTGCTGGGCCAGGGCCACAGGGATCCCACTGCTCCCGCTGGGACATTCCCAGGAACGCAACAAGCTCCTCCGGGATCAACCTGCCCTCCTCCCGCAACTCCCCCCTCGGTGAGACCAGCTAATTAACTCTGTACTAATGAGGAGAAGCGGTAACGGCCACAGCTCCAATAGAGGAATGACACAGGGTCCCTGTGTGGGCCCTACAGGGGGTGCTGTGGGGTGTCTGTGGGGTACCTGTAAGCGGTAACGGCCACAGCTCCAATAGAGGAATGACACAGGGTCCCTGTGTGGGCCCTACAGGGGGTGCTGTGGGGTACCTGTGGGGTACCCGTGGGGTATCTGTGGGGTACCCGTGGGGTACCCCTCCCCAAAGCACCTGCAGAGACAACTCCCACAGGAAAACGCAAATCCCATAAGGAAGGGATAGCCCCCATGGGAGCAGGTAAAGGCAGTTCCCATATAGGCTACAGGTGAGACCAGAGCCCTGATGGAGGGGAACAGGGACACCCCAGGTCCCCCACCAGGGCAGCAGCCTGGGGGGTTCCTGTCAGATCTGCTATAGGGCGGGTGACACCCTGGAGAGAAGGACCCTGACAGGGACTGTTATGGGTGGTGCACACACCAAGGACAAGGACCCCCAGAGAACCTGGTTCTTCTGTAGGGCAAGGCCCCCCGGAAAGGGAAGCCCCACAGCCCCAACAGGTTCCACCTCAGGGCAGGGGCTACCCCAGGAAGGGC